CCGAATGCGCGCCTTGCGGCGGAAGGGGATGAAGAGGAAACGTCAAGATCGGCGACCATCAATGCTTTTCAGAATCAAGATGCTTTCGCTCTTCTCCTAACCATGTGCTCCAATGTGGGAGAAGATTTCAGCCTTCAAGATGTGGTCCTCCTCGAAATATTATTCCACATTGTCAAGGGAGTCAACGTGGAGAAACTCTTCATGAACGACGCCCAACGAAAGGCAAAGCGCACAGACGAGCTTGGTGAACTTTTACAGAAGGAGTCCTCTCTGCGGCGGGAATATGCAAAGAACGCACCAACTCGGCATGGTAGGTTTGGGACAATGATTTGGGTCAAACGCGATGACGCCAAGGTCTCAACGGTGTCGGGACAAGATGTGCTCAAAGATAGCCAGACAACCCTCCACAAGATGGATCAGAGCAAGAAGTGGAACAAGCCTCAGATACGTCGAAGAGCAGCCGAGGTGACGGCAAACAACGACTTTAACACGCCCGTCAATCTCAACTCGACCGCGACCAAGAACCTACGGATGTTTGTAGAAGAGTTTTTGGATTCTGGCTTCAATCCGCTTTTCACTCACGTTCGAAAAGCCATTGAACGTGAAGCTGATCGAGTCCTGGATATCAACACACGACAATTCTTTTATACCGTTGCCTGGTTTCTTGAAGCCGAGCGTGTGCGGCGAGCACATCAACGCGAAAAACGGCATCTGGGTGACAAGTCCTTGAACGAGATAGAACCCGATAGTTTTGCGCTTGTTGCCAGCGTCCTCAACCAGGAAACATTTGTTTTTCTGAACCGCTCAATGCAGTACAGCTATGACAACAAAGACGTGGAAGACCTCACTGCAGAAATGCGCTGTTTCACGCAGATTCTGTTGACTGTACAAGAGATGGCCCAGTCACCGCTTGAAGAAGATCAAGAGATCGCCGATAACATCCAGAACCGAATTTTCTATGAAGAGACTACCCATGACCGCATAATCGCCATCGTTCGTGGGTACAAAGACCAAGGGTTTGGGTACTTGGATGCATGCACAGAGCTTGCTCATGTTTTCTTAAAGATGCTGGAACATTACTCCAAAGAGAACGTGGATATGCATATCCGATCCCGTCGCCGCGCAAAGCGCAAAGCCAAACAGGCCAAACAGGCCGATATCGAAGGCGATGACGAGGAGCAAGCATCTGAAGAAGAAGACTTGATGGACGCCGAAAGAATTTCGAAGGAGCGCAAATTCGATTTCAAACGCTTTGCCGCCAAGTTCTGCAACCAGAGCTGTGTTGACACGTTTATCGCTTTTACCAAGTACTATAAAGAACTGAATGTGGACCAATTGAAACGAGCCCATCGTTACTTTTACAGGATAGCTTTCAAGCAAGAGATGAGCGTTCTGCTTTTCCGGCTTGACATCATCAACCTCTTCTATCGCATGATCAAAGGTCCGGGTGCCTTGGATTCAAACAAGCCGATCTTCAAGGAATGGGAGGAACTGGTCCGGCAGATTATTCGGCGCATGGTCAAGAAGATTGATCAACGCCCGGCTTTGATCACAGAGCTCCTGTTCAGTAAGATCAACTCGACCGTCTTCTACCTGGAATATGGGCATGAGAAACAGACAATATCCGCCTCTAAAAGACCACCGGCTGAGCTCGAAGTTGACCCCAGAGAAGCCAAGACAACCGACGAGAAAATAAAAATTGTTGTGCATGTCATGGTCAAGGATGAGCACACTGACCTGGTCAAATGGGTCAGTGATGTCTTAAATTCGGCAGCCGATGAGAGAGAGGCCTGGGAAAGTCAGGAACAGCACTCAGAAGGACAAAAAGCTCCCAACCCAATGATTCGTACGTCTTCTGATTTCTTCTGGCTGATCGTACGGTGACTAACATGAAACAGCTGTCAAATCCAACAACGAGTCATGCCAGAAGGCCATGTTCTCCAACGCCAAACTACGTCTCCTTATGACTTTGGTCCGCTTCGAACGTCTAGGCATGGAGGATGTTCCTGGAGCCTCCTGGATCGTTCCTTCATCACTCACCTCTCAAGATCTTCGGCACACGAGATCCATGATTGAACAGTGTTTGACTGAGCCTGTCACAGAGAGCTCTGATCGGGACTTGAGCCAGTTGATAAGGAGAAAATCAGGAAACAATACAAGACGAGACAGAGATGACCAAACAGCCGACGTTGATTTTGGGTCCGATTCTGAGGGCGACGACAACGTCCCAGACGGGCCGCTATTCCCACCCAACCCACGATCAAGGGCTAGCGCTCTCGAGCAATTGAAGAAACAACGCAAAAAGAGACGCAAGCAAGCTGGAGAAGAAGAAGAACCGGACGAAGAAGACTTGGAGGGACGACGTCGAGCACGCCTGGAAAATGCTTTAGCTCGACAAGCGAAGATAAAGAGCGATCTGTATATCCACGCCAGTGATGAGCAAACAGATGAAGAAGCAGACCAGGAGTTTTTTCGACTTGAGGAGCAGAGACGAAAGGAGCAGGCAGAAAGAATCAGGAAAGCTCTGCTTCACGGGGTCGTCGAAGAGGCTAGTGAGAACTCGCGGAAGAAAGGCAGTGGGCGCAAGCGGCAAAGCGATCAGCACACTGCCTCGACCGCAGATAGTCAGAGCAAGCGACAGCGACGCCAGCAACGGACCGGAGGGCTCGATGATGATGACGATCTTGTCATGACCGGTACGGACGCTCGGTCGCCAGACTCTCTCGGACAAGGCTCACCTTCTCTCCAAGGTGCTAACGACGTCGAAGACACACCTGTTACCTCCGAAGAAAATGAACTCGATTTCGACGATGATTTAGCTTTCAGCCGGAATCGTAATAGAGACAAAGTCCTCAGTGCGGAGAACGACGACAGCGATACCGAGCCCCCTGCACCTGATACTATAGATGAAGATGATGATGATGAAGCAGCGCCTGTCGCTGCACCGCCTCGGCGAAGAATGCGGGCTGGGTTTGTCATCGAAAGCGATTCAGAGTGAGATGTATACCTATCATGTTGTAATGATTATTGCATGCGGTGTTCGGGTTGGGTCTTGATGGGCACGGGAATGAATGTATATTTTCGCATATATACCGAATCACGAAAGCATCCATATGTAGATGCTCTGCATCCACTGAGTGACCAGGCTCGAGGTGCTCATATTAAAACTTCCCATCGAGTGCGTCTGACAATCGACAGCAATAGACAAGGCACCATGTCTCATTTCCCATTGTGTCCGCCCGTATCTTGAAGGTGCGGCACATCCAAGCCCTAAGGTATTCTACAACGAGTAAATATTTCGACAACAATTAGAGCTCCATCTAACCCAAATAAGCAGCTTTACATCAAATGATCGACGTTTGGCCAGTGGTATCTATCTTTCTGATAGGAACGAGATAGCATTACGAGACCGCAACACGAGCGTTGTCGCGATGACTCACAGATCCATGGACGAAGCGGGTAAGAGTCCTTAAATCCCAATGCGCTTCTCCAACTCTGTTTGTACCATCGAAGACGCAAATCAAGTCTCCCTCAGCAGCTTGGATTTTTATCTAACTTCTTTCAAACAAACCACTTGCCACTCTATCATGACTGAACAAGTCCGATTTGTCACTTTGGACGTCTTCACGTCACAGCCATATGCCGGCAATCCACTTGCCGTGGTGTTCCTCCCGGACTCAAACAAGCCGGCTCTGACACAACAGCAGAAGCAGTCAATTGCGCGCGAGTTCAACTTGTCAGAGACCATCTTTGTCCATGCTGATAAGGGAGAGAAACGCACTATCGACATCTTCACCCCAGACAGCGAACTCCCATTCGCAGGCCATCCCACCATAGGAGCTGCCTGCTGGTTTCTATATCTTTCCCCGGACGAAGGAGACAAGGGAGCCGTCAAGACCCTGACCACCAAGTCGGGGGATATCCCCATATCGCTGCAGTTGGGACAGCCGTCGCCTGCAGTAACTGCTAGAATCGCACATAATACGCGGCTGCACCAGTCCAGATTTCCGCTCCAGCAACTGCTCCGATTGCACCCTTTCTTGTCTGGCTTTTTCGGTATAACCGGTACCATGGAGCCAACTTTCCCCATCTTCTCTATCGTCAATGGGATGAGCCAGGTCCATGTCGAGCTGCCCTCCATTGAGGCTCTCGCTTCCGTCACCACGGCCTCGGGAGGTGAGGTTATCTCTGCGGGCTCTGGCTATCTGGATGAAGGTTGGGATGCAGGTCTCTGTGTGACGTACTTCTACGTACGCAATGTCAAGGACCCACAGACTGGTGCAAACACTATTCGGACCAGGGCGATTCTCGGAAACCTAGAAGATCCAGCAACAGGAAGTGCGGCCAGCGGTCTGGCGGCGTATCTGTCTTTGATGGAGGGAAAACCTGGTCAATATAAATACAACATTGTGCAAGGAGTGGAGATGGGCAGACGCAGTGAGATTGGGGTAGAGGTTGTGGTCAACCAGGATAACAAGATCGACACTGTTGAGCTTCAGGGAGGCGCTGTCAAGGTATCGGAAGGAAGCATTCTACTGCCTCCGAAATGAGTCAATGCCTGATTAGGAGCGAACGGGTTCACTCCTGGGCTGCAATATGGCGAGATGACAATGCATGGCTTGTCTGAGCTGCAAAGAGTTCTTCGAGTATTCTGCGTGATGCTTCGGGTTGTGAGAGCTAGTGAATGAGAATGAGCCCACGTGAAGGGCATACTACTATCAAACTTGGTTGTCAGGTAGACTCGAGGCAATTCACTACATCTGCTCTCTCAAAACGGATATCTCCGGTAACCATATACTGTCATCCTCAAGGTAAACGATGATAAATACTACTGTTCAGCCTGTTCTTTTTCTTTATCGATCTCACCATCCACATCTCTCTCCTCAGCACATATTACTATCTTCAAGACATATTATCTACCCTATTCAAATAGTCTTCTAAGCACAACTTATCTATCCTCATTCTTCTAATCTTGACTGCATCCTGTTTCGAATCCGGTAATGACAGAGAAGCGAAGCCGTAGGGCTTCTCTGTTGGGATCCCTTCAAGTCCTTCGAAGCAAGACTCGCGGTGAAAAGCACACTTATCAGCGACTGGGCAGCGAGAGAGACAGCGGTCCAAAGGACAATGGCAAAGCTGGACGCGTTCTCTCATTTGGCTCATTCATTCCTATCAAGAATGAAAGCTCAATCCTGAACTCGCTCAGAGGAAAGGGTCGCGACTCTCAGATACACGAAGCATGGGATTCTCATCGTCAAGTCTCAATGCCCCTACCTACCAAGTCATCCTCATTTGGCTCTGAAGATTCGAACGAAACAACAGCCAGCAATGGGAAATCTTACAGAAAGATCAAGATATCGATCCGCCGTTTGACAGCAAGAGCTAGTCCTTTTTCCTCTCCACCAAGCAGTCAGACGTCTTCGAGATCCACCAGTTTCACCGGCTCAACTTTGACCTCATCGTCCAAACACAAGTATTCAAAGATTCCAGTCCGCACTGAACATCCGTTCAATGGTATTTACTCTCGCGAAGCGTTTCAAAAAGAAGGTAAACGGAGCGTGCTGTCATCACTGAGCAGGCGTTACATCAATCTCAGACGGAACGTGAGCAAGGATGAAACCAAGTCTATCTCAAATATTGGAAAGAAAGAAACAGAAGATGGAGAGCTTGATATTCCTACTCCTCCTCGGCTGGTCAAAATAGCTCAAACCGTTCGATATGTCCGACCTACCGAACCTGTGCGAGTTTGCCGAATCAGTAGACCTGTCCAGGCAGTGCAAGTTACCCAATCTACTCAGCCTACCCAGCCCGTTGTGCCTATTGAGCTTGCCAAATCTGCCGAGAATGTCCAAGCGACTGCTGAAACTGCTTCAGTCTGTCAAAAATGTCTGGAACATAAATCCAAGCAAACCGAGATGGTCGAGCAGCGCTCTGAGATTGCGTTGGACTCATCATCGAAGAAACTTCGTTCGTCAATCCCACAAACTAGTTCCTCTTCATCTTCAAAGGCTGCATTGATCCAATTGGCTTCTCCACGCAGTTCTATACCGGTTCCTGCTAAAGTCAGATCTCCTGCAAAGCCATGCGCTCCTGCCTTACAAGGTGGAAGAAAGGCGCCAGAGGAGCAAGGAATAAACAAGAATGCAAGAGGCAGCGCCATCCCTGTTCCAAACAATGCCACTGGCCTGAATGTCAAGAAAGTACGATTCAGCGAACCTCTTCCACCAAGGCAGCAGACCTTCACTCACCGTCAGTTGTCCGACAACCAGCCCGCCTTCATATACAAGATAACGAATCGCACCTTAAGAAGCACGAGCGACATGCAGCCGAAGAAGCTGCGGATGAGCAGAGGGTTCGCCAACCTGAAGGCCCTTCAGATTGAAGAAGAGGTCATTTCACAGCTAGCATCCGATGACGACCAAGAGCAGAGCGTTTCCAAACCAAGCCAACAGTCCGAGCAAACTGCAAATGTGCCAACTACCAGAAACAAGGATCGCACTCAGAGAATGGTACTGCCCAGCGATGATAATCACACCAGCAGAATCCCAGGCAACAAGCAGAGAACGCTGACCACGACTACTCCTGCTGGCTTCCAGGTATCCGAGGCACAGCCTCGTCAGTATTGGCTTGGCCGTTTCATGACCCTCACCAACGCGTTCCACTACGAAGATTCTTTCAACGAGCCCGATATCGCCACTGGATTTGGCATGCTGTCGAGCTACTCCCGGCCTCTGGGTCACCCCGATGCGAACCTTGCGAACTATCGTGTCAAGCGTGCCTTCATGGTTCTTGAGAATGTCTGCGTGACGGAGGAGGCGTCTGCTAGTCTGAGAGAGTTCAGAGACGAGTATATTGCTATTCATGGAGATCGTTGGATGTTGTGATGAGGTTGCTTTGTGAAAGAGTACGGGAGATGAAAGATCGTTTGTGCGTATTCACCATGTGGCGTTTCATTGGATTACGAGTATCTGGGCCGCATCATCGTGCTGAAATGGGGGGTTTGGGACACGAAGGCGTCGGGATACACTAGACATATGTCTATCTGTTGGGAAAGGCGATTAATCGGAGGAGTTATTGGTTGGAAGTGTTGACTGCAAATTGCTGTACTTAGGATGACACCGGAGTTTGATATTTACATGGTTTTCTAACAATCATTGCAAGTAGCCTGTCTGATGCGTAGAATTTAGTATAATCCCGATTGAGTAGCCCGTCAACAACCTCAGAGGCCACAGACCCTTTATAATATCCGCCATAGTCAAGAACAGAGCGTCCCAACGCCATACCATGCTTGTCAAAGATTGAATCATAGAAACAATTTTAGTCCGTGGAAAATACCGGCTAGGCCGGTACCCAGCCTGCAATGACTTTACTTCCTCCTGCTCTTCAAGAAAGCAGCAACCTGGTGATGTCGAGTGACAAAGAACATCCGCTTGCGATCAGATTTCCAGACCAGAACGCCGATCTCCTCGGCATATCGACACGGGGCCTCATACTCGGCCAGAGTGTTGAAGTCCCTGAATAAAAAGCCATGTGTCGCTTTGACGCGATCTCTCTCGAGCTGCCAAAGACGAATCTGATCCACGACGGTAGGCGGTAGGACGGACACCGGCATTCCGGCTTGATTAGAAGTAGACCTGGACACATTGTGCTTGCGCATTTGCGGGTGTGCGTGTGTTGATAGGTAAGAGATGATTTGATCGGCGGTAATGCCCATCTCGACTGCACGACGGACGGACTGGCGGGTGATTTTACCCGTGATCAAATTCGGGAAGCGATATTTCAATGTGGTGAAAAGTGCAATGAGGGAGATCTGGAGCGGTGAGGAGGTATATGCGTAGAGTCGGTAATTTGTTTCGATGATGATGAATCCGGAACCGGCCTTGCTCGAGGATGTGCCCGTAGGTCCGGAAAGGGAGCCAGCGAGAGGATTGCTCAGAGTGCTGGAGTCGGATGTCAAGGTGGTTGCGAGGCGCGTCGGGTAGAAATGAGTGGCATCCGGGGTTTCTTGGTAGACGATACCAAAGTCGGCCAAGTCGGTCAGAGTGCGCAATTGGTTGGACGTCAACTGCTTCTTCTCATACGATTTCCCCAGTTCCAAACTGCTCAGGAAGAACACAAAGGAAAGCACCTCGACGCTGTCCATACCGATGGCCGCGGCGCTTTCAACATAAAGAACTAGGATATGCCATACTTGAGTGCCAACGTCCTGTAGAACGAAAGCGAACCCGTCCTGAGTAATTTCCACTCGACGATCCCTGATCTCGACAAGGTGGCCCGCCTGCAAGAGTTCCTTGACGCCTTTGCTCAAACTGACGTCGCGTTGCATGCCTAGTCCACTTGTCCCCACCATGTATCCCAGAACTCCTTCCCACTGCCGTCTGGCATACTCGTCCAGATCCGCAATGGAGACGGCTTCTTCGTCAGATATCTGCGACAGGACACCGAACGATTGAGTTTGCTCGGCGCCGGTGAGAGCCTGCCGAAGAGAGGATGCAAAAGGATCGGTGACGGTGTATGCTTTTACGTTATCCGACGTCGTAGTGCTGGTCATAATGTGCAACCTGCCCAAAATTGAAAGCGCATTATCTCGCTCTCTTTTGGGAGTCAGCGACTATATTTTCCGATACGTTCACTTTGAGAAAGTAGTGATACTCACTTCAAACTGTCTGGTCTGACCCACGCCTCCAAATCCGCTGCTGGAAGTGGGTCCTTGAGGTAGAGAAGGGCCATCACAAAACATTTTGCTGTGATTTATCAGTCCAAAAAAGGGCTCATTTGTACGATGACGAGGCAGACACGTACCCAGGTCAGGCAGCATGCGCCTGAAAATGGCGAGAGCAGTGGAGGGCTGCTGGTAGAGCTTGTTGAAGACAGTCCCAGGCAAGCTCTCCAGGTAATCGAAAGGACGCGGTGGTGCCGCAGCCATCTTGCCTGCAGGACCGAAAATAATTCGTTATCTCTGCAGCATCATCAAGCGTTATCACTAAGAAACCTCAACGATGAAGGGTGAGGATAACTGGGTAGTCTTGAATTCTGTGTCTGATTGGAGACGTTGCAGCAGATATTGTCCGGTGACCATAGCGGCCACCAAGCGCAGTCGGCGATGATCTCACTGTTTAGCTTCTCCATATCTTAGCGCCGATAAGTAACGCTTCATAGACCATTCCTTATCCAGTTCCTATTCCTCGTCTCCAACTGCACTTTTCGCACTGAGTAAATATGACAGCCTTGCGATTTGTCAGATCTGTAAGTATCAGATCCTTTGAATTCGAATGATGCTTCCATAGTAACCATTTTGTACAGGTCTGGGAGTCCTTCCGGGCTACCTCAGGGTTAGAGCCTCGGTAAGTACGGACAGAGGGCTCATATAGACACTCGAGCAGGACCGTCACTGACAATATCTCTTGAGGTCACAGCCTGCTTGACAATGTAAGATTTTCCTTCTGCAGTCCATCGACATTGCGATTGTTACCCTGCGATACCACTGGCTATTAGCATCGGACAAGCGCTTCGGGATATACTAATAACCGCTCTCAGCTCCGTGTAACTGCTGCACGACCCGGAACTGTCAACTTTGAGCTTGATATCCAGAAAGAGCACACGGTAAGTCTCCCGCTTGTGTCTTGCTCTTTGCCCTACATTAACAATGCTACCAGAATAGACTCAGCATCCTTCATGGAGGGACAATAGCCAGTATGGGTACTGTATACCGATAAGACCCCTCACCCTTTTTGCCATCTCATTGACCCTTGTGTCAGTGGACCTTGGCGGCTCCCTAGCCGTCGCTTCTCGAGGCTTGTTTGCGACAGGCGTCTCGACAGATCTTAATGGTATGCCAAACCCGATGTGTCGAATAAGTCCAAAATTGCATTTATCCTGATACGACCTTTTATCACAAGTAACATACCTGAGTTCCGGTGGCAAAGTTGGAGACAAGATCCAAGCGGTTCGTTTTTCAAGCTTTAAGCCAAACTTTTTACAAGATTACTGACGTGCATACAGGAAGTCACTTGCGATAAGTGTAAGTCTCCTACCAATGATCAGAGGACGAGTCCTCCCAAAACTATGTCATCATAGACCCATACGAACTCTAGTCCATCGATATGCCTAACCAAGTCGACAGTCGGGAAAACTCTAGCATACACAAACATCAAGTTCATAAATTCCAAGGGTGAAGTCTTCGCAAGAGGAAGTCATACAAAGTACGTGTTCGCGCTTCACCGATAAGACAGTTCGAATAGCTGACTGCTTTAACCGGCAGGTACATTGCTCTCGCCTGGAAAGACCCCAAAAATATAGTTGAGGAACTCGAAGGACGCAAGGAATCGTAGACAAATCGTCGTATTTGCCGTCTTACACTCTTCGCGTTGGTGGACTTTTACATCACGGCTGAGACACTCATTCGGGAGGCATATATACACATATGGTTCCCATCTAGAGAATCCGACAAGCCCCTATAGATCGAAGTAACTTAGGAATGCCACTGTACATAGAAAGAATGAACATCTTGTACATCTCTCATAGCCCCGAACTTATCGAACACACTTCGGAATTTACTTTATTTTAGGGGGCCGGGGAAGGGGCAGGCACACAGCGGCGTAAGGCACATCACACTGGTTAAGTCAAAAGCACCACGAATATATGGCTTATTATATCGAATCAGGTGCCGAATATACATAAGAACTATGAACGCAACCCTACAGGCAGGCTACACCATTGGGAGGAATGATGATGTCAAGCTGTTGGCATCAATTTAATCCTGCACAGCTATTCAAGTCTGCTCATGCAAAGGGTCCTCCTCGGGCTCATCACCCGCTCCAAGCATAACTTCATCCTCGTCCAACAGCTCGTTTTCCCCGTCAGGCATTGCATCGTCTACTATGATGTCCTGATCACCCATGGCCCTAACCTTGGCCTGAGTCATCTCAAACACATATTGCCCAAGATGTTCGACTCCCTCCATAGGCGTACCCTGAACCTCGTCGTCCAGCGATCTTGTGGTTGGGAACATTTCGCCCGTGGTCAACATGAGTTTGTCAGGGCGCTGTAGGAGAAGGTCAAAGGCCGGCTTGAGTTCATAGCATGACTCGAACACCTCACGACGACCGAGGATATAGAGACCTAGACGGGAACGGGAAAGAGCAACCGTAAGGCGGCGAACGTCTCGGAGATAGCCCACTGTGCGAGTTCGCGTGAGGGAAAGAATAACGTCTGCGCAGAACCCAGGTCAGCATAATCCATCGCTCAAGACGGTTCAACTTACAGTCGTTCTGTTCACCCTGATACTTATCCACAGTTGTCACGATCTTGGGCATGCCAAACAGTGCATTTTTAGCGCACCGATGGGCAAGAACGTCTTTTATCAGCGCCGTTTGGCCTGCGTAGGTAGCAAGAATGGATATCTTTGATGCCGGGTACCCTAGGAGTCGCATGTACTGATAAATGGCGACAGCGTACTCGGCTTCTCCCAGGTTCTGGATGAAGTGAGGGGTCGGCTCCCTTTCTCCGCTCCCTTGATAATCTGGGACGTTGATGAACTGATAGTCGTACTGGAAGCCCGCATTCGCCTGCTTGTATTCTTGAGCCGTGTGAACAATGGGCAAATCTCCAAGCTGCTTATAACGCCACCGGAAGAGTTCTGCCAAGCTAGGTCTTGCTCGGCCCTGCTGATCAAGATTGATCACAGGGACACCTAGTCTTACCAAGCGTAGGAAAAGACTCTGCTCGAAATGGGCGTACTGGCGGAAAGCAAGGTTCTGAATAATCGGAGAGTTCTGAAGGTGATCGCCGCAAAGAACCACGCGTTTCAGAGGGAGCTCGCCATTCTTCATGTGCTGTAGGGCGGATGGAATAAAACTTTCAATCTCAGTAATCTGCGCCGCCT